GGGACAACTGGGCTTTATGAGGGGATACATGGTAGCCCTGGCCGGGCACCGAGGTAGAATGAGAAAAGAATGGATGGGGGAATTTAGTAAGATGCAGTGTAGAGGTGAGGTGGCTAATGGCTGTGAGACTAATTCGTCAACCCCCATAATAGAGACTGAGGAGTGTACAAGTGTCCCAGCGAATTCCGAGAGGGCAGAATAAGTGGCCCCAGTGTCCATTAAAAGGAGATCGGCTTACCTGTCGCCACAGTCGTTACCCGAGGCTCTGTCCTGGTGATGTAAGTCTGTGGGGCCCTGTCAGGGCCTGGGCAGCTTCTTCGGTGGCCAGTCCCAGGAGGTCTGGGAGTTCCAAACCGGATCCAGAGGGCGGCCGTGCTGGACTGGCTGAGGTCCGACCCGGAGGGGCCAGACTACAGTCTGATTTCCAGTGGCCTTCCCTTCCTCACCTTGGGCAGGGCCCAGGCGGGGGTCTCGGGTTTGAGCAGGACTTGGCTCAGTGTCTGCATTTGAAGCAGGGCCTGGAGGAGGCTTAGCCCCTGACTTACCTGCAGTTGGAGGACCAGCACTTCGTTTGGGGTTCATAAGAGCGGTGGCTAGGAGCTGGAAGGCCTCCTTCTGGGCCTCAGCCTTGGCCTGATCTCACCTTTGTTTTTGGATTTACGTCTCCTGGTCTCTGTTATTAAAAACCTTAAAGGTCAGGTTAAGGAGGTCTTTTTGAGGGATTTGTGGACCGGTATCTATTTTTTGAAGTTTGCAGCATATGTGGGGGGGGCTGATTGGGATATAAAATGTGTTCAGTAGAAGGGCTCCCTCTGGGGAGGTAGAGTCTAAAGTAGTAAATTTCCAAGTTCACCCAATGGGCAGGGAGCTGGCAGGCTCAGTGGGCCCTTCGTTGGATCCTAGCACAGGTCCAGGTCTGAGGGGTAGTCCTGGGTGAGCTTTGGAATCCTGATGCACAGTGATGGTGAACCTATGACACGTGTGTCAGAGGAGACACTCGAACTCATTTTTTTGGTTGATTTTTCTTTGTTAAATGGCATTTAAATATATAAAATAAATATCAAAAATATAAGTCTTTGTTTTACTATGGTTGCAAATATCAAAAAATTTCTATATGTGACACGGCACCAGAGTTAAGTTAGGGTTTTTCAAAATGCTGACACGCTGAGCTCAAAAGGTTCGCCATCACTACACTATGCCAAGTAAATGTCAGCATAGAAAAACATTAAAACCTATAGAGAATTTTTGTGACTACTTGAGCCACACTGACAATTGCTGGGAAGCAAAATCTCAGGGGATAGAGATAATCGAGACAGTAATTTTAAGCTTTTAGTTATTTAGGAGTTTAGGATCTTGTAACTCCTTGCTGTGATTACCAATAAATAGTTCTTGTGTGTTCTTCATTCAACAAATTTTACAGTGATTGGATTCTTTATTTATAATGTCACTGTTTTAGTTTGGGACACCCACAAGCAGACTGGAGATAGGGGTTTGGTTCTCAGTTGTTTATTTGGGAAGTAGTCAAAGAAATCTCTGGAGTGGGGAACAGAGGTGATAAAAAGTGTGTAAGAGTGAGGACATTTGGGCTTGGTCTTGCTGGGAAGCCTCTGAGAAACTGGAACCTGCCTCAGAATTGCCCCACTAAGGGGCAAGGAAGCCAGGGTTTTTATCCGTTATTGGTTGAGGGTCGTTCCTGGGCTGTAAACTCCCTGGCACTTGGGGCCTGCCTACCCTTGTGACCAGGAAATACCCTTGGGCAGAGAGCCCAAGTTGTAGATAGTAGGTATGGAAACTTTCCAGATGATTTCCATGGTGACAGAGGGGACAAAAAGTTGTTTTCTTCCTAAACATTGTTACAGTGGTGGACTGTTTGCATCTTGTTATAGAAAGCACAGTTAATGTTGGTACAAGTGGTAAAACCAACCGGAAGGTGTTTAATATGTGCTGTTTCTCCTTAGGATTTTCTGTTGCAGCAGACCATGCTGCGAATTAAGGATCCTAAGAAGTCTTTGGATTTTTATACTAGAGTTCTTGGAATGACGTAAGTAAACTCTATATTGGCGCCTGTAATGTTTAAATACACAGCTTTGCAAATATAGGCAATGCTTTCAAATCTATTTTTAAAAATGGGTTAAAGTTTGCTTCATAAATCACAAAAGTCCTTCTGGCCCGCGGTCTGGGACTGCTGTCAGGGCCTCTGTCAAGTTCCTCTGTCCCAGCCAGGCTCAGTGGGCTGCGAGACACCAATACTTGTACCTTCTCTAATTCCCTTCTCTTCGAGAGCTGTCAGTTAAATCCTTAGTATGCCCAGACCCTTTTGATGTTAGAGCCACTTTTAGCCTCTTGTTTACTTCAGAAAAGGTATACATATAAAGACATACTACTTAGAAAATGAATGAGTTTACTCGGGAAACAAGTTTCAGAAGCAAAAGAAGGGCCCTTGGAGCTTAGGAGAGAGAAAAGCAAAGGAGAGAAGAAGAAAAGAAGAAGAGGGGGACAGGAAAGGCGTGGGCGGGCTCCCAGAGCTTATTTTTCTTGATTTGAGGTTTTCTGTTTGTTTTTGATAATAAAGATAAAGAGTAAAATGATCTTTAATTTACTGCCTGGATAACCTCCATTGACATTGAGAGAAAAATTTGGTTCATATAGTATATGTCTCTGTTTTAAAAATGCAACCAATTCAGAAAAATACGAAATGAAAAGTAATAGCCTCCCTCTCCCAGTTCTTCTCCCTAGAGATAACTGCTGTAAACAATTTCTTGTAATTTTTTTCAGAAAAAGTATTTTCCATATATTCATGGCATATTTAAAAGACAGAATGAAACCAAACTAATTGCACACTTGCTGTTTGCAGGCATTTTACACAGTATTTCATTCCATCTTCAGAGTAGGCCTATAAGGTAGCTGATGTCTCCATTTTAACATATGAAGGAAGAAACCAGAGGTTAAACATTAAGTAACTAGCCCTGAATTTGAAGCCAGGTTCCTATGAACTCCAACGCTGACCTTGTTTTTAAGAGCCCCCAAGTGGGGGGTGTGACCTTGTCCTGAAAGATACACTCAGCTGAGAAAAGCAAGTTTCAGCAGGGTCATGTGCTGCATCTCCCATCTGATGGGTCTACAAGGCTGTGCAGTCTGCTTAGTGTTTCATGACTGCAGTATTTGAGGTGTTGGATTCTTTATTATAAACAGATAGAGTAAATCTTATTTGTGGTAAGTCAGTGCATAGATTTTATTGGCCAGGGCATGTTACATAGCAGTGATAATCAAAAGATTTCAACAGAACTCTAGAAACTTTTTATTTTTTATGCTTCAGTCATTCCCTCTTATTATGAATTAGAGGCCTAGTGCATGCAATTTGTGCATGGGGGGGGGGAGGGTCCCTCAGCCCGGCCTGCACCCTCTCGCAATCCAGGACCCCTCAAGGGATGTCCGACTGCTGGTTTAGGCCCACCGCCGATCCTCAGGCCTAAACTGGCAGTCAGACATTCCCCAAGGGGTCCCAGATGGGAGAGGGTGCAATCCGGGACCGCTGGCTCCTAACCACTCACCTGCCTGCCTGCCTGCCTGATCACCCCTAACCGCCTCTGCCTTGGCCCCCGCTGCTACGGCTTTGTCTGGAAGGACATCCAGAATGACGTCCAGAAGGTCGTTTGGCTGTCCAGTCTAATTAGCATATTATGCTTGTATTATTATAGATGAGGTCATGTTGGAGCATTTAATCCTAATCTAAAGAAAATTATATGAATCCTCATACTACCCTAGTCCTTGCAAAATAATTTTATACTCTGAATTCACTTTATAGGTCATAACTTCACTGATCTTTTTTAAAACCTCAGGATTAATAATTTGTCTGCTCCTCTCACATCAGTCTCTCCTTTTCCACTGGCTCTTTTTCCTCAACCTACAAAAAAGCTTAAGTTGTCTCTATTCTAGGATAATTCTTGCCCTCTGCTCTCTGGCCCTCCTTCCCATCGTCACCCACCATCTATGAAGGCAGATCACGCTGCTCTTTGACTTGCTCCCCTCCCATCCTCTCCCAGTGCAGGCAGTCCAGCTTCTGCTGCCCCACGCTGCGGAGACTGCCTCACAGGACCTTTCCGTGTCTGGTGACCTGTTCCCAGTCTCAGTCCTGTTCGACCTTTCTGCAGTATTTGATACTGTAAACCACTTAATTGTTGACAGTCACATCTTCTGTGTTTGTAATCTGTCCTTCCTTCTTTCTTACCACAGATCCTCAATCTTTTCCCTAGGAGTTTTGGCTTAGTAAGAACTCAGTACATTTATTTATTTAAAAAGTATTTTTAATTTAAGTTTTATTTTTCAATTATAGTTTACATTTAATTTTTTTTTTTGATTGATTTCAGAGAGGAAAAAAAGAGGGAGAGAGAGAGAGAATCATCAATGACGAGAATCATTGATCAGCTGCCTCCTGCATGCCTCCTACCGGGGATCAAGCCCACAACCCAGGCATCTGCCCCGACCAGGAAATGAACTTTGACCCCCTGGTTCATAGATCAGTGCTTAACCACTGAGCCACACGGGCTGGGCTATTTTGATTTAGTTTCAGATGTCCAAGTTAGTGATTAGACAATCATACTTTCAATGCATTCCTACCGGGGATCAAGCCCACAACCCAGGCATGTGCCTCGACCAGGAAACAAACTTTGACCCCCTGGTTCATAGTGCTCAACCACTGAGCCACATGGGCTGGGCTATTTTGATTTAGTTTCAGATGTCCAGGTTAGTGATTAGACAATCATACTTTCAATGCACTTATTTTCTTTAACTGAATGTCATATACCTGAAAGGACAGTAAAGTAACACATTATATTTTTTAGTAAAAATAACATTTTATTTTGAAGTTATCTTTTGCCATTTATAAGCAAGTACCATAATTCTGGCTAAGTTTCATTATATTTGAAGAATTGATGACATTTGAAGAAGTGATGAATTATAAAAGTTTGCTTTTTAAATTTTTATTTCACTGATATTTACAGATGAATGGGTGTTGTTTTTTAAATCCTCACCCGAGGATACTTTTAAAAAAATTATTATTGATCTGAGAGACAGAGAGAGAAACATCAATGTGAGAAACATTAATTGGCTACCTCCACCAACCAAGAATCGAACCTGAAACTTGGATATGCTCCCTGACAGAGAATTGAACCTGCAATCCTTCGGTGCACAGGACATGCTCCAACCAACTGAGCCACAGAGCTGAATAGATTTTTTTAAATGAGATATTTTTCATTGGCTTACCTTGCTTTTCCTATGAAAATGGCCTTATTACAGAGTTATTCTTAGTAGAACTTGAATGTTGTTATGTTGATTTTAGTATGAATCAACCTTTCCTGTTGTTAATTGATTCAGGATTGTTGTTTAATTTCAGGCTACTCCAAAAATTAGATTTTCCCACCATGAAATTTTCACTCTATTTCTTGGCTTATGAGGATAAAAATGACATCCCAAAAGATAAAGATGAAAAGGTAGCGTGGGTGTTCTCCAGAAAAGCTACATTGCATATCGCGCTGATTAGCCAATGGGAAGGGTAGCGGAGGTATGGCTAATTACCATGTTTCTCTATTATTAGATAGGATAACTATCACCTAAAACAATCTCTCTGACTAAAAGTTTTCAATCCCATCATCTAATCCAATGTCTACCACAGTGGCAAGTGAACTCTTATCTAAAATTTGGAATGATTACAGTTAACATTTATTGAGTACTGACTCCATTTCTGATTCTTTGTTAACACAGGAATAACAACTTTACTAAATTCTCTGAAGGTGAAATGGTGAAGAATAGATTGACTTATCAAATGCCATAAAAAAGAAATTGTTAACAAAAATACAAATAGTTAAATATCTCCCCCTCCCTATCTCTCTCTCCTACACTCCCACTCTTTCTAAAAATAAAAATAAAAAAATAAAATAAAATAAACAGAAAAAATATCCTCTGGTGAAGATTAACAACAACAAAATACAAATAGACAAATCATAAGAACTTGGGAAATTTAAAGAAAAAATTGTCAAGCCTTTCCTATTCAAATCTTGATCCAAAGAGAAAATATATCAAATAAAAATTAGAAATACCAAATGCCAAAGACTACTAGTAACATATTAGAATTTATGTGATAAATAGGAGACTAATGAGGACGAGAACAACATGAAAGCATAAAAGGAATGGGAGGATTACATTTATCTGAACATAACTTTATGTTGTTTTAGAACTCTTTATCATAAAATTTTATTTATTCAACTAGGATTCTAATTTTACCATGATGAACAAAGTAACTTTTTGTTGAGTTAAAATTCAAATTGTCATATCATTCCACACACTGAATTAATTTAGGCTAGTCTTAAGTCTTTAGTCTTTTCCCCCATATTTTAAAAATTATGTAAAATACATGTAACAAAATGTACCATGTTAACCATTTTTAAGCGTACAGTTTAATGATGAAATACAATCATTATTTTTGTGGAACCATCATCACCATTTATCCCCAGAACTTTTTTCATCTTACAAAAGTGAGACTCTATATCCATTAAACAACTAGGGGCCCAGTGCACAAATTCATGCAAATTGAAAGGAACTGTGGGCCATGTGGCACAGGGGCGGGTCTCAGCCCATCCTCCGCACCCCCGCCCAGCCCCTCCCCCCCCGCCCGCCCGCCCCCCCCCCCCCCCCAACTGCTCACCTGCCTGCCTGATTACCCCTAACTGCCTCTGCCTTGGCCCCCGCCCTGGCAGCTTTGTCTGGAATGAGGTCCGGAACGTCGTTTGCCTGTCCGGTCTAATTAGCATATTATGCTTTTATTATTATAGATGGATTTGTGTGCTGTTTGCACTGCATTCCTTTTTATGATTCTAACAGATCTAAAGCATTAAGTATAAGTAATTTATTAGGAGTAGGGTTATTGTTATTTTTGTTTTCACAAATAATTTTATTTAGGAGTTGTTTAATCTCATAATCTCATTCTAAACATTACCTTTACTCTCAGTGATTTTACTTTTCAGTCTCTGTGTTATATTTCCAGTAGACTTTTTAAAAAAATATATTTTATTGATTTTTTACAGAGAGGAAGGGAGAGGGATTGAGAGTTAGAAACATCGATGAGAGAGAAACATCGATCAGCTGCCTCCTGCACACTCCCTACTGGGGATGTGCCCGCAACCAAGGTACATGCCCTTGACTGGAATCGAACCTGGGACCCTTGAGTCCACAGGCTGACGCTCTATTCACTGAGCCAAACCGGTCAGGGCTCCAGTAGACTTTTTAATGTAAAAGCCAAAAGCTGTGATGAATAATAATCTTGATTTTTGCTAGCATATACTTCTGCCTTGAACTAAATCCTTTCAGTCAAGATAATGGGATTGCAGGCTTAAATTGGCTGTTATATAGTCACTGTCAACCACAAACCTATTAAGTATGCATAAATGATTATTCTTTTGTGTAGGTTATTCTTAATAGATTGAATAACCTATTCTTAATAGTTTATTCTTGCCCTGGCCGGTTTGGCTCAGTGGATGGAGCGTCGGCCTGTGGACTGAAGGGTCCCGGGTTCGGTTCCGGTCAGGGGCATGTACCTTGGTTGCGGGCACATCCCCAGTGGGGGGCGTGCAGGAGGCAGCTGATCAATGTTTCTCTCTCATTGATGTTTCTAACTCTCTATCCCTCTCCCTTCCTCTCTGTAAAAAATCAATAAAATATATTTTTAAAAAAATAGTTTATTCTTAATATATGAGTCAATTTTGGCCTTATTTTCAATAACTTATAATTCAGAGCAACTAATTAATTTATTATACCCAGCCAGTTAGACTTAGATTCTTATTCTTTAATACAGGGCCGGGCAAAAGTAGGTTTACAGTTATGAGTACATGAAAGTTTATTTTTATATTTTTATTTACTAATTATTATATTATTTTCCATATCAACAACTATAATTCTACTTTTGCTTCACCCTGTATATTATAGTTTTCTAACCTACTTGATTCAGTCTGTCTTTGGATGCCTTTTGTTTTGAAATACACTAGTTTTGGAAGCCACTTGGCCACCCTGTTGTAATGATTTCTTCCTTCTCTTTGCCTTGTTTTGGGGGTGGTCACCTAAGGTCACATCGGAATTGCAGTTCCTGATGTACACGGTGCTTGCAAAAGATTTGAAGAACTGGGAGTCAAATTTGTGAAGAAGCCTGACGATGGTGAGTTATAGACATTCACTGAGCACCCACGGGAAGGGCACCGTTGTAGTAAAACCCTTTTGGTTGCAAGTAACTTTGAAGAAGTCTGCTTCAGCCGGCTTAATGAAAGAAGGGAGTTATTGGAAGAAGACCTGCTTATTTAGGACCTGAAAGACAGCGACTACGGTGCTTCACGAGGGACTAGACACAGGATATGGGGAGCCATCAAAGACCTAGGCTCCTCACCTACCCTCGGACCCACCTCATTCTCTATCTCAGGTGTTATCTAGCCACCCCAAAATAAGTTCTTTAAAGCCTGCTTTATCTGATATTAATATAACTATACCAAATCTCTTCAGTTAATAATGGCCTGGTATTTCTTTTTCACCTTTTACAACCTTTGCATGTCCTTAAGTTTTATATATGTTTCTTGAAATAGTATATGTCAAGATTTTGTTGGATTCACATGTAGTATAATTTATTTTACTTAGATTTGTTTCTGCCATCATAATTTATTATTTCAATTTTCATTTGAAACTCTTCACTGTTTTCACTGTTTCATTTTAATTCTTTTTATTTCAATTAAAAGATTTGATATCCAGATATCTTCCCCAACAGGAAGAGAACTTGTTCCCTTTTACTCCCATCATGTTACTGTTGCCCAGACTTGGATATGATTCATTTCTTAAAGATAATAAGTACGATTTCAAAGTATTTGATCACCTTTTCTCCATACGTCTCTTACAGCATTTTTAAGATTTTTCTGTCCCTTTATTAAGTACCTCAACCCAAACTGTTTTCAAA